GCTGCGAAGGTTTCGTATACTTCAAAGGCCGCACCGGTAGGAAGTTTATTTCCGAAGTCCCCCAGAGTAACCGGGGGTGGAAGGAAAAGTTTGTTTTCATCGAGTTTCCCCCTTTCGTCACTCCCCTGGCCGGTCTTAAATGGAACGACCATCTGCTTAATCAAGAGTACGCTGCACCGGCCTCCGCTCCTGACTTGGAAGCGAGTCTCGAGGTCCTCATGCGCCGAGATCCTTTCACCGGGAGGGTTTTTCATTACGGCAGCTGGGTTTGGAGGGTCGAGTCGGGTGGTGAGGGTACCTCCCAGGCCCATGAAGCAGCGGGGCGCGGGGTACCCTCCCCGGGCAACACTGCAGAGGCCGAGGGCTGGAACCACCCAGGTACTTATATTCTTATTTCGTTTTGTTCTTTGATCGGTCACGTCTCTCGTACTTAACGATTTTAGCTATCTTGCAGATATGGAGTTCGAGGAGTATGCCATGCCCGAAGATAAGCCAGAAGGAGAGACCGGTGGTTCTCAGACCGGTACTGCCAAGACTTTCACGGTCCAACCCGAGACCGTGGAAGTTCATGATTTGGACGACGATGAGCCCCACCCCGACCGGTCAAGGGGGACGGGCAAGGAAAAGACCGGTCGTCGTCAGAAGAAGGTGGCCACAACCCACCCCTCTTATGCCTAGAAGAGGGCGAGGTCGGAATTTGAGCCGGCCTCCCAGACCATTGAAGAGGCCTTTGTCAACCTGGGCCTGAGGCTGAAAGAGGTAAGGGCTTTCCCTACCCCGGTTGAATTCGGGTTACTTTTTGTAATAATTTTACCGGTTTCTTTGCTTGTGCAAAAAGGGGAGATCGGGCCCTATGCAGTTGAGCAGCTGGGGATGGGGTCTCCTTCGGAGGTTGCCCGGCTGAAGAAAGAGAACGAAGAGATGGGCTTCATCTTAAAGAGCCAGGCCAACGAGTTGACTCGGTTATCCGGAATGGCCGGGGCGTTGAAAGCTGAAGTCTCCCAGCTCAAGGAGGAGAACGGCCGGCTTATGGATGAAGTTTCTGAGGCTAAGAGGGAAATGGCGGAGAAGGAAGAAACCTTCCCCGGGCGCGCAGCCGCCTGGGTTGAAGAGAACAAAGCCGATGCTGCCCGGGTGATGACGGCGACTCCGGAGGCCACCATGGAATCCTTCAGGTTTCTGTACCGGGAGCCTGAGGGAAGGAAAATGATAACCGCGATTGGATCTTTTGGTTCAAGAGCGGTCAGAAGAAAGACCGGATTGCCTCCCACCGGGTATTGCTGAGAAGGGACCCGGAGTTTAGCGCTGCTTCTTATGGCCTGACACCTATCCCAGAACAAGAACCTACTCCCCCCTTCCCTCTTGAGTGAACTCCCCGGCTGCGACCGGTTAAGTCTTTATTTTGTAAAACTTCAAACTTATTTTCC